ATTACTATAACTATTATTATTATACCCAGAGTTGCCAGGCCTTTCTTCTGTGACACTTCAGGATGGATTGAAACTCCTAACCTTTCCCTGACCATTTAAGCATGCTAACAGTCTGCAACATCCAGGATTTTGTCTCAAAGGTCCACGTGCTCTCTTCTGTGTCAGGCCGCCAGTGGGTTTTCAGAGGCTGCAAATCCCACAGAAGGAGCTGGCCCATCTGTCTTCCTCAGAACAACTAGTGGATTCGAACCACCAAAGAAGCATAGCTTTTAAATGACCAGCGCAGCTCCCTACACAGCTCCTCAGAGCTCCCCCGATTGAATTCCGCATCCTTCCACATAACCAAAACCCCAACTTGCTTTACGGTGGGTCAATTCTGACTCGTAGTGACTCTTGATTGGGGTTCTGAGACTATAAACAATTTTTAAAGGGATTCCTCATCTGTCTCTCAAGGAGCGATTGGTGGATTCTAACCACCCACCTGTGAGCTTGCAGGCCAACAAATGACATAATATGCTACCAAGGATGCTTCATGGTTTGGGTCAGATGCACCTTAGTCTTTATTTGGACATCATTGCTCAATAAAGATGACAGAGAAGAATCAGTGTCTTTGAGTTGTGGTGTTGGAGAAGAGCACCAAATATCTCATGGATTGACAAAACAACAAATAAGTTTGTCTTGAACGCAGTGCAGCCAAGGTGGTCCATAGAATCCAGCATGCGAAGATCTGGTCTCACATCCTTTGGGCCTATGGTCAAGGAGGGTCCAGTCCTTGGAGAAGGACACCCTGCTGGGGAAGGTGGAGGGTCAGAGACAAAGAGGAAGACCTCGACGAGATGGATGGACACAGTGACCGCAGACATGGGCTTGAGGATGTCAGAGAAGGTGGCAGGACAGAACAGGGCTCAGATCTATACTTTATAGGGTCTCTGCAAGTCCTACTTAATTCTTTATTTTATTTTATTTTATTATTTTTGTGTGAGTGTACCATCAAATCAGATCTGTTTGGTACAGGAAAATTCTATGGCATCTCCTACCAACAGCATGAAGCAATTCAAACTATCACTTTAGTCAGATGCCCCTTAGTCTTTATGCTGACATCCTTGCTCTGAAGCCCTTTTAAGAGTTCTTTGCTGGGAGATTTGCCCCAAGATAAACAGCATGTTTGATTTCTCGCCTGCTGTTTGCATGGGTGCTGTCTGTGGAGACAGGTAAGATGAAGACAGCCTTGATGCGAAATTCAAAGGCAGAACCCTTATCTAGGGTCTCTGCAAGCTTGTTTACACTCCAGACTGCCCCAGTCCACTCCACTTTCATCTCTTTTTGGCACCAGCCAAGAGAGAAGGACAGTCACCTACATATCCCACACCAAGCTGAGAATGGAGAAAATGATTCAGGACCAGTTAACAACAGTGCTGGCTGCCCAGGGGCCAGGTCCTGGCCTGGAGGGTCAGTGATAAAAGAATTGCTGAGTCATCACCAAGAGGAAAAAGAGGGACCACTTCCTGGGGAAAAACAATTAACACAAACCCAAGTCTTTTCCCTGAATCTGCTTTGTTTTTTTAAAGTGAAGTTTAAGCACAAAGAGTGGTGAAAATGCTTCTGGTTTTGACAGGACAGGTGTCCTACACAACCAGCCTCTGGGAGGTAGAAAAGGTGAATGCATTTGCATGCTAAACATATGACTGGAAGTCTGATTTTGCAGCTGAGTGTCTAGGAGCAAAGACCTGGCTGTCTCTGTCTGTAAAAACAACAACCACAAACCGAAACAAACAAACAAAATCACCTTGGAAATCTTGTACAGCGGGGAGGTGTCCCAGAATGGTCATGAGTAGGGCTGGATCCAGAGACAACTGGTTTCAAGGTCTCGCTGGCTGGTGAAGAAAAGTCCTGACAATACAGCGGTCAAAACACTCACCTGCTGGCTGGAGGGTTAGTGGTTCGAATCCCCCAGCTGCTCTGAAGGACATAAATGAGGCCATCTGCTTCTGTAAAGATTCACAGCCTCGGAGACCCCATGGGGCAGCTCTGCTCTGTCCTGAAGGGTGGCTGGGAGTTTGAATTCACACACACACACAAAATAGATTTAGATACTTAATTAAAAGAAATGTCATTGGAGCACTTGGCTGCCAATCTTGAAGGCCGGTGGTTCGACTCTCTCTGAGGGAGAAAGACGGACAATTTCCTCCTGTTCAATTTACAGCCTCTTAAAACTCAAGGTAGGGTCAGCTATGGGTAAGCTCTGATTCAAAGGCAATGAGTGAGTTTTATGCCTTGAATTTGGGGTTGATCGCTGGTGACCACCAGATGTACAGCTGGCCCAGGTCTCTCAGAGGATCCAGGGTCATGTGGGCTCCCATCTGTGTAACCAGAGTCCCCACATTCATTCCAGCATGAAGAACGTCCTAATGCCAACCGTGCCAGACCCGAAATTCTCCTTCCCTGGGCTCTTTGAGGACCACAGAGGAAACTTCCAGGTGAGAGAACTGCGTCCCTTCTCCCAGCCTGG